GGGAGGGGGAGGAAAGGGGTGGGGTAGTATTATATTCTTGTTCACAATTAAAGCTGTAGTAGTAATATAACGTCGTCCCCGCCCCAGCAAAATCTTCCTCTCTCTTCCAGCTACAGTCTAAAGGATCAATTGATCTTTGAAATTAGAAAGTAGAGGCAGGGTTGCAGACTTTTGGAAGGAAAATAGAACAATCATTTGAGGTATTCTTCTTCCTCACAAAATATATAAAGGAGTAGTAATATTTTCTCTCCTCTCTCTCCTGCTGAAATTTTTGTTTTTCTTCTTTCATCTCTTAAGTCATTGAAAAGATTTGTGCTTTTGCCTCAAGTTTGGATTTTTCTGTTTCTGAATTTGTTGTATATAGTAGTTTTAAATGTATTATAATCAACTGATAAATACTATAATATATGAAAATTAGACTCATGGCATATTCAGTCTTTTACCACTAGATAGTTTGGTGAGTTACAAGATTCTTCGTACCAACATAAGTAACCTAATTGTTTTTGTGTTTTCAGGTTTCTTACATGAAAATTAATGATTTAGATCTGGGAAAGTATGTTAATTTTTCTTGGATTTTCGCGGGAAATAATTTGTACTATTTTCTCTGCTAACCTTTTCTGGAGATAATTTCGCTTTCTCTGTCATATATGTGCATAAATCTATGCTTCTTTTTGAACAATGGTTTCCTATCACAGATAATCTTAGTTGAACTGCAGCTGTCTTTTGATATTCACATGTCTACAGTTTTCTGTGTCATTCAGTTCTGGAACTTTTTTAAAAAGTTATTTTCTTAATTTCCCTTGTAAATATATTTGCAGGAGGGAATTAGCTGCTAATTCTGTCATCTTAAAAGTTGGCACCTGGCCTACTTTTTTGAGGAGTGTTGTTCTTGTTCAAGATGATGATGTTTGAGGAAATGGGGTTCTGTGGGGATCTTGATTTCTTCCCTGCTCTGCTGAAGGAAGTGGAAGTGGCTGCTCCACTCACTGAGCCGGAGCCGGAGCCGGCGATGGATGACGATTACAGTGATGAGGATATTGATGTGGATGAGCTAGAGAAGAGAGTGTGGAGGGACAAGATGAAGCTGAAAAGGATGAAAGAAATGAATCAGGGAAAGGTAGATATTGATTCTGCGAAACGACGCCAGTCGCAGGAGCAGGCGAGGAGGAAGAAGATGTCAAGGGCACAGGACGGGATCTTGAAGTACATGTTGAAAATGATGGAAGTTTGTAAAGCTCAGGGTTTTGTTTATGGTATCATCCCGGAAAAAGGCAAGCCGGTCGGAGGGGCATCTGATAATCTTAGAAAATGGTGGAAAGATAAAGTGAGGTTCGACCGAAATGGTCCTGCGGCCATAGCCAAATACCAATCTGATCATGCCATCCCAGGGATGAACGAGGGATCTAATCCAGTTGGTCCTACGCCTCACACCTTGCAGGAGCTTCAAGATACCACCCTTGGTTCGTTATTGTCAGCTCTGATGCAGCACTGTGATCCTCCTCAGAGAAGATTCCCATTGGAGAAAGGTGTTTCGCCCCCGTGGTGGCCTACAGGAGAGGAGGATTGGTGGCCTCAATTGGGTTTGCAGAAGGAACAAGGTCCTCCGCCTTATAAGAAGCCTCATGATCTGAAGAAAGCGTGGAAGGTTGGTGTCCTCACAGCTGTAATCAAGCACATGTTCCCCGATATTGCTAAGATCCGTAAGCTTGTAAGGCAGTCAAAGTGCTTGCAGGATAAGATGACAGCCAAAGAAAGTGCAACTTGGCTTGCCATCATCAATCAGGAGGAAGTTTTGGCTCGAGCACTCTATCCTGATCACTGTCTGCCCTTGTCCTCAGCTGGTGCTAGTGGAACTTTCATGTTGAATGACAGCAGTGAGTATGACGTTGAAGGTGCTCAAGATGAACCCAGCTTTGATGTTCATGAGCAAAAACCAAACCATCTCAGCTTGTTGAATGTTGGTCTCGAGAGATTCAAGGAGACGCGGCCTCTGCAGCAACAATCTCATCCAAACAAGGATGAAATGATCACAAGCTTAGACGTCACGCGGAAGAGGAAGCAATCGGATGAACAGAATGTTGCAACGGATCAAAAGATCTATACATGCGAGTTTCTTCAATGTCCTTACAGTGAACTTCGCCATGGTTTTCAGGACAGATCTGCCAGAGACAATCATCAATTAGCTTGTCCTTTCAGAAAAACTTCCCAATTGGGAGTCTCAAACTTTCACGTGAACGAGGTCAAGCCAACTGTCTTCCCTCAACAATATGTCCAGTCAAAGTCAGCTGCTCTGCCTGTCAATCTCGGACCAGGTCCACCTTCCTTTGATCTATTTGGAGTAGGAGTTTCTGAAGATGGGCAAAGGATGATTGATGAGCTTATGTCATTCTATGACAGTAATATACAAGGAAACAAAAGCCAAAATACGGGAAATGTTGCACTGACCAAAGAGCAGCCTCATCAACAACCTCGTCTGAACCAGGACAATTACCTACACAGCCAAGGGATGATGGAAGGGAATACCTTCAAAGACACAAATATTTCTGCAAACCATCCTATACTCCCACAAGGCAATCTAGCTGATCAGTGCAAGGTTCTAAATTCATCATTCAATACAGGTTCTAATGACAACTTCAATTTCATGTTTGGATCTCCGTTCAACTTACAGTCCACCAATTTTACTGGAAATCTACCTGGCTTCGGATGTGATAACACACTGAAGCAAGATATTCCCATTTGGTACTAGCCAAGAGATTGGTGAGACGTATATAATCAGCTGGAACTTCATAGTTATAGCTTGTTCCCTGAGAGGCAAGATCCAGATATAATTTGTATGCGTTATAAGGTAGATTTTTAGTCGCTTATAGATCTTTTAGTTATGGTATTTCTAGATACCATGTTGAAAGCTAGGCATGGTGTAATGAAGGAGGAGGAAGAGATACCCTCAAATATTAGCTATGCTGCTTATAGAATGTTTAGATATAATTAAAAATAAGTTAGCCTATTTTGTTATCTGTGTACAATTTTGGTTGAACTCACGCTGCAGTAATTTTGATATCTTTATTTAAGTCTCTTTGTTGGCTGCATTTTGATGTTGATCAAAAGGTTGTTGCATCTTTCAGCATAGGCGGTATCAGTATAGACTGTTGAATTCTTTAAGCAGGTGAAGGTCGATCTCCTCGTTCAGTACACTACTCAAGGTCGTTTGAGATTTCTTCCTCCTTTTGAAGTCAAAATAGCATAGTTGTTGATGTTGCTGAAGTTGTATAATGAGAAGTTCCTTTCTATGATCTTTAGCCTCACATTGAAGAGGTGCCCATATTGTTTCTGCTTTATCCTCTGCTTCCAATTCTGTTTTTATGTAAAAGCATTGCTTTTATGAAATCAACTGTTTGATTTGCTATGCAATAGCAATATAACTTTTTTATTTAGTATATGGTTTGCTTTGGTCAAGTTTCTCCAGGCTTGTGGATATGCTTGTTTTAAGTTCATTCCTATGGGGCTTAGTTATCTTGCTCATATTTGAACATAGTGGTGTAGGCTAGCAGTCAATAAATTAGGTGAATATGATGGGAAATCGAAGTTCAAATCACAGTAGAGACAAAAAACGCCAAGTAACTTTTTCCTATTTGTCCAAGTCTAGTGCGAGATAGCAGGTGCCTAGTGGAATAGTCGAGATGCGCGTAAGTTAGTCTAACTATGATAATTATGGAAGAAAAATAAGAATTAACAGATACCCCACCTTTAGGTAAAGTACACAATTAGCCTATTCTCCCCTTCTCCACCTCCCTCTCCCAAGAAAAATGGAACAAGAAAGTAAATTGAAGGAATGAAAAAGTAATAAGGCAGGGATGATGTGAATGAGCAGATCACAATTATGTTTATTAGTACTTATTAATTTCTAATTTAAGAAGCTATGTAGTGTTGGCTGGTTCCTTCACATTCAATTTTCTTTTGATTGATTCTACTTTACTGAACTCTGTTTTCCTTGTAAGAAAATCGAAAGATACGAAGCTTAAACAGCAAATATATCATGCCAAAACTAATCAGGAGAGTAGTTTTAATATTTATGAGTAATTCCTAACCTTTTTCCCCCCTCGAAGTTATTAGGTTTACTTAAGATTTCCGTCAACAAAACAATAATTGACGATAAAGTCTTTGTTCAAATTTTTTTTGATAACCGTGGTGTTCGGGCCAGCTTGCGCGCACCTCGACTAATTGCACAGAATACCTATCACCCTCTACTAGCAGGTACCCGGTAATTCTATCCACTACGACTTCGGCAGATGGAAAGAAACAATCATGGAGAGCCACAAGATAGTTTTTTTTTTTTTTGGTTTACTACACCTCCGTATATACATGCATTTGGACATTTTCTTTCCTATATCAACAGATCCAATACAAAAACTAGAAGATGCACTTCCATTTATACAGGTCAAACAGAGAAGATAAATAAATAAAGAAAAACTTATTAAACAGGTGATACTCAAAGGCAAATACAATGTACATACAACTATGCATTAAGAACTGTCCCAAAAACACTAGACAACTTTTGTTGATAGGCTAACTGGCTTATCCCATTTTCTTATTAGGAAAAACGAATTTTCAATTTGTTTATTCTCAAACAGTTTGATGAAATCGGAACAGTTGTAACATAATGACCTGACACAGAATTGTTTTTATATCTTCTACGTGGCAAACAATGACTATCTAACACCTGTTTAGCATAAACAAGTGCTGTTTGTTTTGCTGTTATATGCCGAATCTCGATTAACTACACAGTTCAGTTAACTAGTTTATCTTTCACTGTCCTAAAAATGCATGTTATTCTATTGGACAAGATTCAGCATATAATAGCAAATCACTAGTGATTGCTTAAGGTAGATAAGTGAGTTCGAACCGTGGAAGTAGCCATTAATGTTGTATTAGGGTATGTTGTCTATATTACACCCCTTAAGGTGCGATACTTCCCTAAACCCTCGGAATACTTTGTGCAACGGGCAACTCTTTCTATTGGACAAGATTCGTATGAGAAACAACAAGTTAAAACGAAACATAAAGAGCCAAAGTATGAATTAATATAATTGCGAACGGTAACTCAAACTATCAACTAATGTTATGGGATGGATGAAACTCATTAATTTTCTCTTCAATAGCGTCATAGTAATAGGGTGGAATGAATAAGATCTCCACATCTAAACGAAAATCTCGAGTTTGAACCATAAAAATGAAGAAATTCTTGATAGAAATGCTTTTTTCTTTAACGGACCTTGCAGAATAAGAACCTAAATTAATCCAGCCAATAAGTATCATATACAAAAACAAAAAGCTCAAATACTTGGCAGAAATAATGTGCACACATGCAGGACAGGAAAGCTCAGAGAATGCCTATTTTTTTTGGTAAGGAATTTTTTTAATTTACAAACAAAAAGATATGTACAGCACAAGTCGAAAACGACACAAGAGTTTGGACATCATGCCCCACACTCTTGCAAACATCTCCCATTTGATTTGTAAGTTTATCGTTTACGTTATTTAATTTAATTTTATACGATATATCTCTAATGTTGTAGTTATGAAAGTTTCTTCAAAACCAGCAGACTCTGAAGAAAATTAAGTTTAAAAAGAGTAAATTATACATCTACACACGAAAAGGGCCCAACCGGGTTCAAACCGGTGACCTCTTGATCTGCAGTCAAATACTCTACCACTGAGCTATGGACCCTTTGATGCGAGAATTATCCTTTTAGCTTTTTATATATTTATTTTATACTATATTAAAATCACGAAGAGTCGAAAACCCTTACAACCCAGAATCGGTGACCTATATTTGAAACGGAAAGAGATCTGATTGCTGCGTAATTCTCTCTTTCACTACAATTCAAAAACAACGCAGAGCTTCAGAAGCTTCAACAACGCAATACAAATTGTAGAATTCAAAATTGTTCTTCATCGTCCTCAGTACTCAAATTGTCGAACCTATATCTGTTCTTCATCTTTTTTCTCTCAACTACACGAAATCATGTCAAAAATCCCAATAATGCTAAAATTGAATAGGAATTGGGATAACTATGGCAGATTTAGAGATTTTGAAGTTGATGCCATTGTGGTAGATGAGAATGCAGGTTTGTGTAGTTCGAAAATGCTTAGAATTTTAGTTTTATGATATTATCTACAAATTTACTACATATATCTACAATTTGACTACAAGTTCTTTATTTGGTGCAGGAAAAAAATATTTTAATACACAATGTCTCCAGATTGTAGATAAATTGTAGGCAAATTGTAGTTTACTTGTAGTTTGAGTTAATTTATAGATAAATTGTAGATAAAATGTAGATATATTGTAGATACTATATTTTTAATATTGTAAATTTTTTTTCTTTGTGTTTGTTCTGAAAATGTAGGTGAGGGCTTCAACAGATCATATACATACTGTGTTGGATGGTGTGAAGCGGTACATTGTGTGTCTAGAAAACAGGAAATGTAGTTGTGGCCAATTCCAACTTGAAGAACTTCCATGTGTAAATTATTTCCAGATTGTAGTTATAATGTAGGTTAAACGTAGTTAATTTGTAGTTTTTGTAAAATTTTGTAGACAATTTGCAGATTAATTGTGGATAACACATTTCTACGATTGGAGTATTTATTTCTTAATTTTTGTTGTGTAATTTATATTCAACTTACAGTTATATACAAATAATACATAGAACTTGGAGGTAAACATCTAAAAATTATGACAAAAAGCTACAAAATTTATATACAATAACTACATTGAGTCTTCACACAATGTAGATAGTTTGAAGATTATTGGCGAGGGAGATTTACGTCAAGGATTAAGGCGAGAGAGATGCAAGCAGAAAATTGGCGAGGGGGAGGGAAACACCCAAATCAAAAGATGGGATATCAGCTAATGTAGATTTTGAAGGTTTTTTTTGGGAGTGTTGATGTTTTTCATGATTTGGGAGAAAGATTACTTCAACTTGAATCAGATGGAACTTCAAATTGGGATTTTGTGAAATTAAATGGAGAAAAAATTGTAGAATCGTGGGTCTGTAGAGGACAACTGATGGTAAACGTGAGGTAGTGAAGGTAAAACGTGGGGGTGGGGGGGGGGGGAGGAGAGAGAGGCGGGTAAAGGTAAATGTGAGAATATATGCTCCTAAATTAACGCCTAATATAAATGAAGCATTAATTATACCCCTAATTTGAATTATGGTATATAAATGGTAATTTGGTATGCTGAAATGTAATTAACACAAACCTTAAACATTAAGGGTAATAAGGTTTCATATATGGTATAGGAAGGTAAAAATCTCATTCGACAATTATAAATGCTATGAGTAGTCTATGTGAGATTGGTCCACTGACCCTTAATTTTATTCTTCGATCAATAACTTGCTTAGAATAAATATTACTATAGATTGTAAAATATAATTAAAATAAATAATTACAAAAATATTTAATAAAATCAAAGAGAAAGAGAAAAGGAAAAGTTATTGACAAAAACCATTTATCAGCGCTTCGACAAACATAAAGTGCAAAAGTTCAAATATTAATCAGTTAAAAATAGATTTTTTTTGGATAAAAATATAATTATAATTGAATATTTAAAATATGGTGTAGGCATATAAATTATAATTAAATCCATAAAATAATTTAGATTATATTTTAAAATTCAAGATATATTGATCCAAATAAATATTATGGGCTAATATAATTGAATTAATTATATAAGTCCAATATATATATGGATTAAATAAATAAGTCTCAATCCATTGGGCTAGCCCATTTAATTGGGCTAAAGTGATGAGCCCACTTCATTAAGCCCAAGATGTCATCTTCCTAGAGGCGCAGTTTAGTGCCACGTGTCAAATGACGTGGCACGCCAAGTCAAACAAAAGAGCCAATAGGATTGTGCCACGTGTGAAAATGACAAGGCATGCCAAGTCAAAATAAAGGGCCAATGAAATCGCGCCACATGTGCAAGTGACTTGTTTTGGCCAATCAAATGCGGCCTTGTCACTCTTCAATCTGATTGGTCGGAAAGAGTTTGTTCTTATCATAACTCTTCCCTCCCACAACT